TTCTCCTTTGCATCGAATACACTTACGTTCAACCAACTACCTCCTCTGCTACTTCTGCCCAATAACTGCCATGCACTGCTTTCCGCGACCTGCTGACTCAACTCCCCCACTCCAACTGGATCTGTGCAGTACAACCTCTTTCTACATTTTATCGCAATTTTCAAGTGAAGCGTTTTCAAAGTGGTGGTGAATCATTGTGGAAACTGGATAAACGAGATCACCATTTAACACGGGCACACATTGAACATCTGAGCAAAAGTGGCACAATAAACGGGAAACGTCTTACTAATCGAAGCAATTCGTGGTTTGTCTGGAGCACAGAAACGTATTATGCGCTGCATCTTCGCAGAGATCGCTATTGTCTCAGGAAAGTTTCTTATTTGTAAAAAATGGATAAGCGTGCTGTGGTGTTAGTGTCTCCCGTTTGGCAAACCCAATAATAATTCGATTTTTATGTGTTCAGTGTCCTTAAAAAACAAAACGGGCAAACCTCAATTGTCCAGTTGCAAATGGCTTTCAGCTGCCGAAGCACCTTCCATCAATTCCCATCTGCTGTCGTAGTCGTGACGACCGAATTGCAAGACTAAGGTCTGACTAAAAGTTCGAGTGCATCCTATAGTAAAAGTATTATCGACGATCTGAATTTCCGAATTAGGTGCTTTCTTCATCAAAAGTTGGCCCTAACCTCAGACTCAGATCATCCAAATCCAATTAGTAACAGAAAGTTCGTTACTATGCAAACGTCCATAAAGTCTAGGGAAGGAATCCACAGGTGCAGACGGAGCGTCAGAATTTCATCCTACAATCAGATCTAATCGTCGAAAGTACTCCTAAACCACTTTTTGTCCTTAACGAATCCAACTTAACTATCAATCACGCAACGGACGATCAGTTGTAAGAACCCTACATGTGATATACGTGCATGTGCGCAGAAATTTATGAGCCTAAGGCGATAGGCCTTTCTTGTGAGGCCACTTTTGTCGGTGATCAATATTAAAAAGCACTTCCACAATCAGTTGACCCAGTTGTGAAAAAATCGCGGCCTCGGTGGAAGTTGAACCCACACAGCAAAGAAGGCTTGTTCTCAGCCAACGCTCTACCATTGAACTGCGGGGCTCACAGTGCGCCGTGACTTGGGTCAAATGAATTAAGCAACTGTCAAAACCCTCAACAATTAAGTGAGCATAGTAGTCATTCTGGTGGATTCTAGATGATTGCTTAAGAAATCCCACCTGGACAGTCAGCTTGCTGTTCCGTAATGGTGGATTCCATACGAGCGGTAAGTTGGGTGGTAAAATCGATCCAAGTGTGATTAAATTCACGGCGCACGGTGAGCCTCATA